TTGACCGGTTGATATGTCATTCATCTTAGGGATCTTACTCAATTCACAAAACATCTGAAATATTTTCTTACAAGAATAAAATAAATCAAAATACAAATCAAACTATATTGAGATTTCATTAGAAAATTAGTCTGATTATAGTTGTAGATTTTGATCTCTGATTTTTTTTCTGGTCTAAAAAAATTTTGCGGGTACTTATTCTGAATAATAATAGTCATTTACAAGCATTTATTTAGCACCTAGTATTCTGGAAATCAAGCAAGAAACCAGGAGAGTGTTGATATCCTCTGAAGAGAGACTAACAGTGAGATAGCAAGACCATGCTTGGGGAAAATAAGCTTCTGTGAACTGAGCATCCAATATAAAACAGACTAGACAAGAAATTCCTCATCTTTAGAAAGAATGAACGATATTTAAGTGTCCATATCGTTTTTACTAAGCACTTAACCTTCCATTCTAGAACTTCCTCACATGATTTTTACTGGTTCTGCAGATATGGAGATAAAAGAATTTTCTTTTCTGGCAACTTCTTTCTCAGCAAAAAGAAAAGGAAAAAGGATCCCTTTGTCTTTAGCTAAAACACCCCTAACTTAAAATTTCAGTACTTATTTAAGTAAACTGGAGTAATTTTAAAGTTCTAATAAACCATTAAGCAAAATGCAAAGTCTGAGCAATAAATCAGACAAATTTAAAATTTTTATTTCTTAAAAGTGTATTACATGGAAATTGCTCATATCTGAATTTAAATTCAAAGCCAAGATTGCCAAACACGTAAAGTATATCTAGTTATGCTGATACTAAATGATTTAATACTTTCTGACTTCTCTTCACTTATCTTTTCCTGTTCCCTTCTAGTAGCTTAAGATTTGGCTCCCAACATATAAAAAAATAATATGTATTATGGGAAATTCAAAAGAAATAGCTCTCAGAGGGGAAAAGTGCTACAATAACATTCCCATGACCTTGAGTCTTCCAACATCACTTCCAGATAGCCACAATATCCCACTCACCTAAGGAAATAGGTGTATTCATCCTGTAAAATATTGCATTACTTTATAGATACACTTAAGCAAACTTTATTCGACTCATAAATGTGGTTACTTCTTAAGATCCAAAGCACCCCAAGTCTTAATATATCATGTCTCTGTACCTCCAATCCACCTTAAAATGCTCAGTCGTTCTATATATCAACTCATGACCGCTAATTCCTGTAGAAACAGATTGATGTAATATTCATTTAGCTACAACTAAGTAAAAGTTAAGGAATTCACAAAATATTAATGCACCCAAAAATTCAATTCAGAAAAACTGTTTTGTTCTAGTAGGCTTTATTAATAGAATCCAAAACTATACTCCTTATTTTCCAGCTTTTGAAGCTCGGTTCAGATATGTTCTTTGGCATACACTTACACAAAAATGGCTTTCAAATCGACTTTGTTTTAGAAACAAACATTTCTTTAGTATAGAAAACAATACTGTTGTATACATAAAAACTTAAAAGTCAAGCTTTTTCAATACGATATTTTACAGAAACATATTTTGGTAACTGCGAATAAAGATCACGAATGCGTCAAATTGCTTTTAATTGGTACAAAATATTAGCAAACCATGTAAAGAACATTTTGTACTTCCCTTTCTTCAAAAGACAAAGAATATTTTCGATTCTCATAAAATATCTGCATACATGCACTGGTAAGTTGTAGTATCTTTGAAATAAACAGACCATAATTCAAGGGTTGGCTTTACTATAAGTGAAATTAATGCAGCCATTGTTTGAAAATGTGTAATACAAATCTTTAGAATAAAATACGTTAAATTATCGGAATAGTTCTGTGTAGCTTCAAAGCGGACACCATATTTAATTTTTCATACTATAGCATGAGTCATTTTATATAAGTCAGAAAATCCTTTAGAACAATATGTGCTCATATGTATGAAGCTATATCAAACTACATCTTTGAATGTGATAAAGAGAATCTGCTGTGATAAGACCATCCTGACAGAAATACAAAAACCCCGAAAAGCGTGTAACATCAGGTTACTTGAAATCTATGTTGCTCTACACTGAGGTCTTATGAAAATTCCACAATCTCCTTCATTTCTACTCATGTCGTGCCCTCCCACAGCATCCTCAAATTTACTTGATGCAGCTGTATTCCTTTTTCTAATAATTTTCTCTTCCTGTCAAAGCACAAAGCATACCAATATGGTCACACACTGTAATACAGCTCCGTAGATTTTTTGTTATTGGTAATAAAATGTAGAAGTAACTGTTTTTCATGGGGAAAATTCTAAATAAATTTTCCAAACAGACTCTGATTTGATGATTAATAAAAGAATAATTTGACATTTGTTAACTTTTAAAAGTATGGGAGCAAAACTCATTTTCACGTGCCATGTTAATTGGTATCTATTCCTTTTGATGAAAAGAAATCCCATCCATTTATTCTTCCTCAGTTTAAAACAATCACATCCTCTCTTGACCACAAGTTTAAGTCAAATAACACTTTGTAAATAACCGTGTCATTCCTCAGTTTTTGATATAACCTCCAAACAGAAGTTTCAAAAGAACTCTGACTAGCAAACACATCACTGTACTTTAAACAGAGTGATGTTTTCTATCCCATTCTTCAGGGAGGTTAAAACACGCACACACAGGCAAGGATCATCACTGTAGACAACAGATTCTGAGTTTATTAACTATGTAGGTAGATTAAGCAACGCTTGCTTTTAAACTAACCATAAATCAAATGGAGTCTCTTTCTTAAATGACTCACACTACCATGTTACCAACAGATATTTAAGGGAAAATAAGAAAAGGGCTACATGTTTTGAACTGTGCTTATCGAAAATCTACATCTAGTCACTTTATATTTTAGGAGATGCCTCTTACTGAGATAATCAAGATACTTTACAATAGGGAATTTAGATTTAATTATCAAACTTTAATACCACGTTATATAGGTCAAGTGAGTATGTGTGTCCTTCTCCGGAAACAAAGGGATTCAGAGTAATAGGATTTCAGATTTCATAGTAGAAAAAGCAAGATATGTTTTGAGAATGTCATTTACTGTAACACAAATCAATATTAAATGCTTTATGCAGGAAGAACACTTTCAGAAAATGGGCCCTAAAGCTTTCTGGGATCCGACCCTAATTACTAGAGCAGGCTCTTGCCGTTTGTCTCTCTCTTCAATTATTTACGGGGCAAAAAGAGCCAAATGGCATTGCATTAGCTGTATTAAACGCTACGTACTTGGTTTCTAACTTACTAATGGTACATAAAAATTACTAAGGTGAATGTGCTTGTAGGAACATGGCCTTTTTCCTTCTACACCTGAGTGTATATATTTATTATTCATATAGTTAAGTGTTAAATAGGCTGTCCTTCAGCCACCCAATGCTGCATAATTTAAACAAGTGCATTAAACATATATGACATCTAAAAGGTAGTACATTGATTACTGATTATGCCTCAAAATTTCTTGGAACAACTTATATTTACAATGTAGCTTGCAAAAAACAAAAACAAAAAAACAAAACATACACCACCCTCCAGTCCCTGAAAACAAATTTATGGAGACCACACAGAAATGAATAATGGGTATCCTTGCTGCTACCATCTTGCTGCTTTCTAGCGACCCAAAGTAAAATATGAATTGGAGGGAGTGAAAATGAGGCCCTTGAGTGCTAGGAAATTTCTGGTCTCTATGCCGACAAGAGTCCTTTTTACATGGACAAATACAGAGCTATGTTGTGCGTAACATGGACCACACACACTGTAAGAAAAGCTTATCAAGGATGAATCAGAGATTCTTTGCACCAGGCCAGAGGTGCCCGCTCCCAGCAACCAGGGCATGATTACAACCTCCGAAAGAAAGTTCAGGCACTGCATCCATACTTGATTCTTTTGTGATCTAGAAGGGCATCCACCTAGAGTCGTGATAGGAGATGCTAATTGCTGAAGAACGCTGGCGCAGCCAACTTCCACCTTCCCAAACTGTGGAAGAAGCTTCCAAAGTAGTGAAACCCTCTCTTCATGGACTCTCTCTATATTTTTTAAATGAGTCTAGGAGGCATCAAATTCTCGTAAAAATAATATAAGCCCACTAACCAAGTACCCAGGGTCCCTAGAAAGCCAGTCGCAATTTGTACGGCTACACGTCATCCTCTGTGTTACCCAAGAGTCTGCCAAGGCCACTTTTGAAAAAGCGCCATTGGATATTGATCCGTGGTAAATATATAAGGTAGTATTTTTCTAAACTAAATACAAAGTCGCTTCCTCCTCTGCACTGAAATCTGCCCATTGTCCTTCCGTCGCAAAAGCTACAAGGATGATTAAAAACGGACATCAATGAACGCTGAGTGAACTTTGGCCACTTTTCTACCCAAAACACCAGCGTAAAAGTAGAAATCAGTAACCAGGTGAAGTGCCACACCGCACAAAGATCAACGCGAGAGGGGGGCGCGCGGGGCCGGAGGCGGGGAGTAAAGCGTCCCGTCCCCCACTCAAGCCCCAGACGTCGCGCGCGTGGAGGCTGAGGGGCGTCCCCCGGGGGGCGGGAGGCTCCGCGCCACTCCGAGGGAAGCCGAGAGTTTCTGCTCGCAAGGCGAGGCCCAGGAGAAGGGGTCGAAAAGCCGCGCCGCCAGCGGGTCCTGCTGCGGGCCCCAGGCGTCGGCGATCTAGCAGCCAGCGCGCGGCGAGGGGCTCCGCGAGGGGCGCCGCTCGGCCCCGCGACCCTCCCCACCTCCCAGACCAGGAAGGGGCTGGCGGCTCTTTCCTGTCTAGTCTCTCCCCCCGCGGCTTTCTGTAACCCGATCCCCGCACTACGCTCCCCCGGCAGCCGCCGCCCCGCGCGCCACCCGGCTCTGCCCAGGCCAGCGCTATAGTTAGCAACCTTCCATCAACTCCGCCGGGGGCAGCGGGGGCCCACCGCACGCCCCTCCCCGGGCCGGTGCCGCGCGCGTCCCCGGCGCCCTCACCCTTGGCACCCTTTTACCTTCGCTTGAAGATACTGGGGGTAGTAGTAGGTGGCGTACTGAGGGTACATCTGCTGTTTCCACACTTTGCCCATGAAGCTGGAAGGGAGCCTGCGGTGCAGGGTCGCGGGCACTTTGGGGTTTCCAAGTCTCGATTTCTCCTGCCTCTCCCTTTCCGGCGGCGGCGGCGGCTGCCGCTGCTCCACCTCCCAGCCGGGACAAGACGTCCTCCTCCTCCTCCTCCTCCTCCTTCTCCTCTCAGGCAAAGAGAAAGAGACTGCAGAGCGCAGAGGGCACCCCGAACAGGGCGCTCCCAAGGAGTTGCTTCCCGGAGACCGACTGCTCCGGGGCTGCCAAAGGCTGGCGCGCTGGCCGCTCCGCTCCGCTCCGGCGAGCAGGCTGAACGGGTATAGGAGGTGATCAATACAAGTGGAAAGTGCGGCGGCGGCGGCGGCGGCGGCTGCGATCGGTGCCAGGCGGCATCTGGGGTGGGTGCGCCGGATTGGGAGAGGGGAGAGGGGCAGGCTTGCCGAGGCCGTGGGGGAAGGGCGGGCGGGGGCGGGGCTTGGGCGCAGCGGAGCCGGGACCCGCTGGAGGTGAGGGCTGAGTTTTAACCACTCCTCACCTCCCAGGCTGGCGGTTGGAGGCGCAGAAACCCTGGGAGCCCCGATCGCTTTGTGTTGGAGTTGGGGGTGGGGGAGATTTGGAGGACTCAGCTTAAGAACTGCAGAGTGGACTCCTCCTTTGCTCATGAGTTTATATCTCCGTAAGGGGGAGGAGAGGTAGGAGAAAGAGGAGGAAATCTGATTAATCTCTCACTTCCCCCCTCCCAGTGATTTTTTTTCACAAGGGAAGAAAAATGATTTAGTGCCCAACCACAAAGCTGGAGTCGGGACACCTGGGTTCCCCTCCACCCTCCGGGCCACCACACTGATTTCCTAGGTGACCTTGGGAGGGTTAGTGTCCTTCAGTTTGGTTTTCCTAGATGCGAGAGGTGAAATTATGCCCTCTACACAAGGGGAGGCAAAGCTCGCGCGCGTGTACGCGCGCGCGCGCACACACTCACACACACACACACACACACAAATACACACACCCCTCACAACAAATAGAGGGATCCTTGTAAAGGGGAGATGCCGCTGAGGCAGAATGTTATTATTAGAGGACACAATGTAGACATCAGCTTTTCTCTGCCTTTTCCTAATGCTGCCAGACAGTCTGTCAACTCCCACTCAGGAGCGAGGAAACTCCCTGAGTTTGGAATATTTTAAGGCCATTTTGAAAGTCACGCTGGCATATTGTTGCAGTGTGCTTCAGTGACATATAAAATCAATCTCTCTCTCTCTCTGCCTCTCTCCATCTCCTAATTGTCACAGCACTAGACAGCCCCAGACAGCAGTGGTTCAGTTCGCTACATAACTAGATATAATTTAATGGAGTTAATTGGTCCTTGAAGCTGCCTGTAGAAGACTTTTATAGGCTAGCTCAAAAAGAGATAATACCAAAATGTACAAATAGGATGAGTAAGAAAGCACCTCCACACTAGAGTTCTTGTACATCTAATAAAATGAAAAATGAATTTGTTATTAAATAGACCTTGATTACTTTGTCTTGTCATTTCGGTTTTCCCAAAGTCTGTTATCTTAACGGCACAAAAGTAAACCCAACTCAAATGGAATGCATGATTTTGCTAAACAGTTACACTTTTATATGATTACATTTCAAAACAAGTTTAGTAAGATACTTTAAAATAATGAAATAGTAAGCTGAAACCTTTATAATCTTTATATGATTTAGACGAACTTCTAGGTTTTACATTTTGACAAAAAATAAATAAGTTTCTATGAGAACATTTTGGATGCACCAGGTGGCAACTCATGCTCTCCTTAAAAAAAAAAAAAAAAAAAAAAAATTGACAACCTATGTGAAATCCTATACAAATACTAGTATTTACTAAGCTTCTGCTACATCCTGGGCACTGTTGAGGTTAATGTTAATCTGAAGGTTGGAGTGGTTAACTGTCTAGCAGGAGAACTTAAATAGTTATTTATATTATATCATTGTGGGACCCTTTAATGTTTTTGAGCAGAAAATTGACATTAGCTTGTGCTTTAGGAGCCTACGAGGACTAGGAATGATGGTTTAGAGGAGTGACTGAAGGAAGAGAACAAAAACAATCTGAGAAGTTCTAGGTTTGAGATAAGGGAAATTATCAAATTTAGACTGTTCTACATTTTTCTGGCTGATGAAAATTCAGCCTGTTTTAGAGAGCCCAGAAGCATACCCACAATTATGTAGACACTTGATTTATGACTGAGTTGGTATTGCAGAGCAGTGGAGAAAGAATGAGCTTTTCAATAAATGATTCTGGGTCAATTGGCTATTCATATGGAAAAAAATGAAATTGGAGCCCTGCCTTACAAAAAGGGAAGAAAAAAAGCTCAAGTGAATTAAAGACCTAGATTTAAAAAACAGAACTATAAAGCTGTTAGAAGACCATATAGGGAAATATCTTTATAGCCTTGAGGTAGGAAAAGATTCTTTAATAAGGTGACCAACAGTGCAGGACTGATCAATTCGACTATATTAAAATTCAGAACACTGATTCATCAAAGGATTCTATAAAGAAATGAAAAAGCAAACCACAAAAGTTATTTGTAATCCATATAACTACAGAAGATTAATATAGAGAATATATAAAGAACTCTTTGAAATCAATAAGAAAAAATAAAACAACTAGTAAGAATATAAGCAAAAGAATGAATGTATGTATTTCACAGAGGAGGAAGCACAAGTGGCCCTATAACATATGAAAAGATCCTCATGCGCAGTATTAAAGGAAATGAAAATTAAAATAAGATACAATTTCACATTCACCAAATTAGAAAAAATTAAGAACTCTGAAAATATTAAGAGTAGGTGAAGCTGTATAAAAGGAGAAAATCTCAAAAACACTGCTTACTGGATGAAGTATAAATTGGTACAACCCCAGTTCGGCATTACCCAATCTCATTTGCATGTATGTTATGACACAGTAATTCTACTTGTAGGAATACGCTTCAAAGAATTTTTTTATATTTGTACAAAGAGATGTACAGTAATGTTCATAACATACTGAAAATAACTAAAACGTCTATTAACTATAGAATGGATAAAAAGGTTGATGTCTATGCATACAATAGAACAGTTTGCAGCAGTGAAAATGAATAAACTACAGCTAAAAGCATCAACATGGATCGTTTCAAGACTGATGTTGAAAAACAAGTCAACATAAAGCATAATTCCATTTGTATGACCTTGAATAACAAAAAATAACCACTAAATTGTGTAAGAACAGGTACATGGGCAGTAAAAAAAAAAAAAAAAACTATGGAAAAAAAGGAGGCTTATTACACAAAATTAAGAATAGTGGTTACCATTGAGGGAGAGGAAGGGGGATGTTCAGGGAGGGCCGAAGGGAACTTGTAGAAATGGTAATGCTCCATGTTTTGCAGTAGGTTGTAGAGCTATGAGAATGAACTTCAATATTTTTCTTTAAGTGGTTCATAGATTCTTTTGTATGTTTGCTGTATTTTAGACCACCACATTTTAAAAACAAAACTCAACTTTTAATTTTAATCATGATCATTTTTTTAAATTATTTATTATTTATTATTTATGCCTACAGCACCCAGTCTTCCTAGGTGTTCTCCCATCCAAGTACTAACCAGACCTGACCTTGCTTAGCTTCCAAGAATCAGACATTAGGCTTGTTCAGGGTGGCATGGCCGTAGAATGGCCTGTGGCTCTACTGAGGTGTGAACCTAGGACCTTCTGGGTGTAAAGTAGACATGCTAACCGCTGCACTATGGAACCACATCCTCATTTTTCAATAAATGCAAAAACAGAAGAGAATAAAATAATAACTTCTTTATTCCCGACACCCAGCTTCCACATTTATTAACATGTTGTCATTTATCTTTCACACACACAGAGACACACATTTTTATCTTTCTGGAGCATTTTAAAGCAAACCCCAAAAATCGTATCATTTTACCTGTGACATCTTAATATCTACCTCTAACAAATAAGAACTTTTTAAAACACAATATCATTCTCACAATTAACAAAATTGACAGTTATTTAAGATCAACTAATACCTAGTTCTTGTTCAGTTTTCTCCAATTATCTAAAAATTACTTTTTGTAGTTCATTTGTTTAAATCAGGATGAAACAATGCCCATATGTTAAATTTCGTTGATATATCTCCTAAGCCTCTTTTAATATATAAAAATTCACCCAAACTCACTTTTTAAATAGCTATTTATTTCTGAAAGAAACCAGGTCACTTGTCCTATAGAATTTCCTACATGGCTGATTGCAAACTGGTGGTGTTTAAAGTGATGGTTATATTACATGCAGGTACATTTTTTTAGGAAAGAATACTTCATAGATGGCGTTGTAAACACATAGTTGATATGATGTGCATCATCACGTTGCCTCAGGAGACACATGATGTCTGATTGTCTTTTAATGGTGTTAAGATTGCTTAAAAAAAAAAAAATTCAGGTAATATCAGTCTGATTGATCCATTAAAAATGTCCATGGGATGGACCTAGAGGTTATTATGCTGAGTGAAAAAAGTCAGACAGAGAAAGGTAAATACCATATGATTTCACTTATATGCGGAATCTGAGGAACAAAAAGAACAAACTAATCAAAAACAGACTCACAAATATAGTGGACAATTTGGTGACAGACAGAGGGGAGAGGGTTGGGGGGCTGGGAGAATGGGGTGAAAGATTAAAGAAGTACAAATTAGTAGTTGATAGCTGGGCACGAGGATGGGGAGCATGGCATGGGGAGTGCAGTTAGCATTGGTGTGATGGCTGGGGGGCGGCTAGGGGAGGGAGGGAGCAATTGGAATTGTTTTATGAACAATATAGATATCTAACCAATGTACTGTAGACTTGAAACTAATTTAAATAAATTTATATTTTTTTAAATGTCCATAGTTTTAACAGTCATTTATGAATGTTACCTCAATTCATTATTTCATTAGAGGTTACAAAATTGTGGTTTTTATAATTTTGTCACTACTTCTGCACTTATTAGTTGGAAATTGTCTGTGGAGAAGAACTTTCTCTTTTCAACTCCTTAGTTAACTTGAAATACAGTTAACACAAGAAAAGCAGAATAAATTTTCCCATTTATCAATTTTCAGAATAAAGAGTTGATGCCATAAGGAAATTCCAAAGCTAACAAGTTTTAAGTAACATTCTGAACTTTTGAGTTTTTATATATTTGATTTGTTTCAATCTATTATGGTCATTATTCTTGTTGTTGCTTAAATTGTCCCATCTTCAACCAATGGGGGATCATTTGAATTGGTTCCTGTGTCTTTTTTACCAAGCCCCAATAGTCTTTGATAGATTTTTTTTGCTTTCTAGTATGCTAAGATTGTCCCAGTTTCTTGTGAAGTTCATGTCCAAGCCTGGATCAGCTATTCCTCTAGAAATCTACATCAGCTGTTTCTTTAAAAAAAAAAAAAAATTAATAATAACAAAATATTTAAAATGTGTTTTTCATACTTACCATATTTAGAGGAAGACACTCATGAAGGATTCTTAATGAAACTTGTGCCAAGATGACCCCTAGGAGAGCATGAGCCACTGAATAATATTTTTGCAAGAGAAGTTATACCTTTATACCTTCACGAACATTTTAGAAGCATCCTCTAGTACAGGACATTGGGGATACAGTTGCTTGGTGTTCACCTACATGGAGC